GGTCTTTTCCTCAAGAATGCTTGAAAGTCCCCTGTTTCACTGAACGACCATTTTTTCCCCTGAAGGATTATACTCAGTTTTGCTGGGTAGGTGATTCTTGGTTGTAATCCTATCTCCTTTGCCCTCCAGAATATTATATTCCATGCCCTGCGGTCCCTTAATGTAGAAGCTGCTAAATCTTGTGTTATCCTGATTGTGTTTCCACAATACTTGAAATTGTTTCTTTCTGGCTGCTTGCAATATTTTCTCCTTGACCTGGGAACTCTGGAATTTGGCTACAATATTCCTAGGAGTTTTTCTTTGGGGATCTCTTTCAGGAGGTGATCGGTGGATTCTTTCCATTTCTATTTTGCCCTCTGGTTCTAAAATATCAGGGCAGTTTTCCTCGATAATTTCTTGAAAGATGATGTCTAGGCTTTTTTTTTTTATCATGGCTTTCAGACGGTCCAATAATTTTTAAATTCTCTCTCCTGGATCTATATTCCAAGTCAGTTGTTTTTCCAATGAGATATTTCACATTGTTTTCTATTTTTTTCATTCTTTTGGGTTTGTTTTACAGTGTCTTAATTTCTCATAAAGTCACTAGCTTCCAACTGCTCCATTCTAATTTTTAAGGAAGTATTTTCTTCAGTAAGCTTTTGGACTTCCTTTTCCATTTGGTCAATTTTGCTTTTTAGGGCATTCTTCTCCTCATTGGCTTTTTGGACCTCTTTTGCCATTTGGGTTAGGCTATTTTTTAAAGTGTTATTTTCTTCAGTATTTTTTTGGGTCTCCTTTAGCAAACTGTTGACTTGTTTTTCATGACTTTCTTGCATCACTCTCATTTTTCCTCTACTTTTCCTACTTGCTTCTCAAAATCCTTTTTAAGCTCCTCCATGGCCTGGGATCAATTCATATTTTTCTTGGAGGCTTTGGATGTAGGAGCTTTGACTTTGTTGTCTTCTTCTGGCTGTATGTTTTGATCTTCTTTGTCACCAAAGTAAGAAAATATAGTCTGACTCTTTTTGCGCTGCTTGCTCATAATCTCAGCCAATTACTTGAGTTATAAACTCTTTGTTAAGGTAGGGGTGTGCTTCCAGTGTGGCGAATGTACTGTCCCAAGCTTCGGTGGTTTTGTGCAGCTGTTTTCAGAAATACCTCTAGGGACCTGTAAATTTTCAGTTCTTCCAAGGTCGTATGATCAAGGGCAAGGTGATTACTCCTTTCCTAGCCTATGTTCTGATCTATGAGTGACCACAAGCACTCTTTTCTGCCTTAGAATTGTGAGGAGGATTCCTTCTCCATGGCCACTACAAGCTCCACCAAGCTATCACTCCTCCTTGCTCCAGGACCACCACCCAGAACTGTGACCAGCTCCAGCAGAAAGATCCCTGCAATCCCCCTCTGATAAGCCACTCAACTCCCCCTCAGTCTGTGGGCCGGAAGCTCTGGAAGCAGCCGCTGACCCAAGGCCAAGTTAGGGGACTGGCGCTTTTCTCTCTCACTGAGGACACAGACTTTTCCCACTGATCTTTTAAGTTGTCTTTGGCGTTTGTGGGTTGAGAAGTCTGGAAACCACCACAGCTGCCCATGATTCAGTCCTCTGAGGCCTGCTCCAGGTTCGCTGAGGCCTGCCTTGCCTGAGCGCTCATGCCGAACTGTGCTCCTCTCCCTGCCCTGCATGACATACCTTTCCAATCAACTATCCAGGCTGTCTTGGGCTGTAAATTTGTTTCACTCTTTTTGTGGGTTCTGCTCCAAGATTTTCTGTCTCTGGACAATCCTCATGATATTTATTCATTATGAATCACTCACTCCATCATTCTTCAGGGCTAGCACAATATCTCCCCTGGACCAAAAGCTCAGGTTCTAGGGTTCAGCAACTCAGTCAGATTATCCAATACTCTGCTAGAGTGGGTGAGGTAGGTCATTTGGTTGCCAAGGCTTCTCACCAGGAACCATTGCTGCTGGACTGGGCCAGGCAACACTAGGTAGTGGCTACCTGAGAGAAGGCTGAGCCTAACATTGGTCATTGGGCTCTTCTCAAGACACAGTGTCTCTGTAAATGTATCAGTCTACTGGTCTCCTGGGATTGCTCTTCAATGGGCAGCAGTAGTATTTTTCCACCTTCAAGTATTAGCTTGGCTGGGTGCTACCATGCTGTCTTCAACTACAGTGTTACCTGTCTCTTTTAGTCAGAGCAATAACCCTGGGCTTAGGATCAAAGTTGTGCTAAAGCTTCTGCCCTCTAATTCCGACAGAAGCTCATCCCTGAGGTGATTTGACACTTCCAGGTAGTAAATAAGAAAAGGATTGCCTGTCTTTTAACAAATTCTAGCTGACTCAAAAGTCCCTCCCTTCAGAAAGCCATTTCATGTTGTAGTATAGTGCTTAGTTTCAATTTAGTCATTTTTATGTCCCATTCTCCTTTGGAAAGCTTATAAAATCGTGAGAAATGCTGAATTATTAGATTCCCACATAAGTTGCAAAAAACAGGAAAGGTGCTGAATGGCTAACTAATTAAGGGGAAAGTGACATTCCTCAGGCCAGTTAAGACAGCAGGGTTCCTGTCTTTACAACCCAAGGCCCAAACCAGTCCAAGCTGGTTGGGGGTGAGTGTCCAAGCACAAGAATCTGCTACTACTCAGACTCAATAAACCTCATGCATATGCTAACTAAAGGATCAGGATTTTCCACCAATTGTAACTCGGATTGAGGTTTCTCTAATTAGAATATGGAACTGTGAACCTAACCAATTGCGAAACTTTTGATTGTAACTCAGACCAATCTGAGTCTTGGAGCGAGGAATAAGGGGACCAGACTAACAGTATAAAGCTCACTCTCACTTCTGTGCTCAGTGTGCTTCCTTCTTGGGAAAGAGTGTACCCTATTCTCGAGCAAATTGAATTAAGGAATTTCTTTTTCTTTTTTTATTTTTTAGGCAATTGGGGTTAAGTGACTTGCCCAGGGTCACACAGCTAGTAAGTGTCAAGTCTTCGTTCGGTCTGAGGCTGGATTTGAACTCAGGTCCTCCTGACTTCAGGGCCCATGCTCTATCTATTGAGCCACCTAGAGGCCCCAAGGAATTTCTTCCTTCACTCTAAAAGAGTTGTAGCCTGCATCTCTAACAGAGCTGTATCCTGTTATGGGAAGCAGTGGGCAATGGCTTGTCCTGGGCTAACTCCCCAATCCTGTTGGTCCTGGAGGTTGTTGATAACAATATTGAGTGGTTAGGGACAAAGATATAAATAAAGTCTAGGTACTGGCTGCAAATTCATTATCTTACTGTCCTCTTCATAAATAATTGAGATATTCGAGACTCCTAGGACAATGTCTATTCTATATCTACAGGCTCTCTAGGTGGTACGGTGGATAGAGTACTGGCCTAGAGTCAGGAAGATCCATCTTCCTGAGTTTAAATCCTACTCCTACTTAACTACTACTTACACATAGCTACTTACTAGCTATGTGACCCTGGGCAAGTCACAACACTTTTTGCCTCAATTCCTCATCTGTAAAATGAGCTGGAGAAAGAAATGGCAAACCACTTAAGTATCTTTGCCAAGAAAACCCTAAATGGGATCACAAAGAGTTGGACAAAACTGAACAACAACCCACTCATGCTTGAATTATTGCCATAGTGTAACTGACCTTCGTATATCCAACCTGCTTTCTCCTTTCCAATCTATCTATCATGCCACTGTCAGAAAAAATCCTTCCAAAACACTTCTCTCATACCAATACTCCTTACTTTAAAAATGTCAATGGCTTCCCATTACTTACTATTTCCCTGCCTAGGAATGTCCTTCTCAACCTTTTAAGGCCTAGAATAAGTCACCGTTTCTCCATGAAGATGCCTCTGGTCACTCAGACCGATAGAAATCTCTCTCCTCACATCCAATTAAGATAGCTTTACAAAATAAAAACAAAGAAGACGTTCTTTGGTTTTCCATCAGTACCAAAAAACGTGGCACTAAGTTTTACTCTACCAATGCTAAAATCTGTTAAGGTTAAGAATTGTTTTCAGATGGAAACATGAGTAAAACATATTAAGAGTTTTAAGAGAAGTACAAACTAACATGAATGTTTAAAATATTGAATAGTTTTACAAAAAATCAACTACCTCTTAAATTGTTATAAATGAAGATGTGTACATTATGCCACTTTGAAAAAATAAGTTTTATTGATGCTTTTTTAATATCATAGTCATAAGTGGCACTAATTATTTTTGTGGGTTTTTTTAACTTTCCTCAATCAACAAGCATTTATTTTCTCTCCATCAACAAGCATTTATTTTCTCTCCCTTCTACCTCTTCCTTACTGAAAAAAAATACAAACTTACTATTAATTAGTATAATAGTATATAACTTTTTCAGATTTTAAACCAGCAAAAAATAGCATTTGTATTTATTTCCTTCTAAGTCACATCTGCTTTCTGTAACTCAGTTTCCTTATCTGTAAAGTGAATAGGTTGGCCTATGTAATTTTTAAAATCCTCTGGCTCTAGAAATTCTATGAATTCTATTTATATAAACTTTATTTTGTACAAATATAGTGATATGTAGTGTAACCTGTTCTAAATTCAGTCAGGAGAGAGCTGGGTTCACATCTTACCACTTTTACTTACTATATATGTGACCATGGTCAAATCATTTAATCTCTATGTGCCTCAGTTGAGGATAATAATGAGTGGGATGCTGAAAAACACCCCACACAATAATGTCTATGGTACTTATCTTACAAAGTTGTCCTGAGGGTCAAAGAGCTGCTGAGTGCTTTGCAAACTTTAATACCTTTATCATTTCAGCTCTCCTAGTGTGAACTGATTTCTCTTAATCTTACTAATCTCCTGTACTTGGGATCCAAGGTTTTTCTGGAAACAGATCACCAAATATCTCCACACAAAATGACACTAAATTGTTCTTCCTATCTGAACAGTATTAGACTAATATTTTAAAACCACACATGACACAGTCACTGTATGTAAATCAGACTTTCACAAATGATCATTGGAAGATTACCTTGGATTCTGACTTCATTTTCTCTTCTTTCAATTCTTCTGTTGCTTTATGAATTTTTTCACGACACCTGTTTATTTCCACTCGCACTGGAATACAGAGTAAATCCTTAAACACAACAATCCTTTATAAAACATATGTTTCTGTAGCATTGGGTGAGAAATCTTTAAATAGTATACCCCCACCTCAATGATTTTGGAGTAAATGAGCTTCCTGAATCTGCCTGACCAGGCCCTTCAAAATTTTAATTCTAGTTTAAGTCAAACACTATGGGGGGACATAAAAGAAAATATATAAAGTCATATGCAAAATGACAGAAATGTACTTGACCTTCATGCCTCAAACGACGACTTTCTTCTGCCTGATGTTCAGTAAATATGATGTGCTGGAATAAAGAGTCTAAGCTCATTTTAGATGCAGTCTCTGATGAGTCCTTTGCTTTTCTTTTTTTTTTTCTCTCTCTCCTCTTAAGTACGTTCTGAGACTGAAGACCCTGGATTTCACAACAGAGGTCAATTATGAGTTTGAGACTGCTTCCCAATTTGCTCCCTTGTCCTTACTGTCCCCTATCGTCCATCCCCACACCCTAGATAGGAGGGCAACTCTGGGCCTCAGTTTCCTGATTTGTACAATGTGAGGGAAGTTAGACTGGAAGACCTCTGAGTTCCCTTACAGCCCTAAATTTATCAAACTTGACACTAGTGGGAACAGGTAAGGATTGTGCTCAAAAGATGTCCCACAAAGACTTAGGGGTAGGCCCTTGCTGGAGCCTCTCCCCTCCCCCACCCCATGAGGGTTTAGAAAGAGTCGCTGCACCCTGCCTCATTTTCCCTCAGCAGCAGCTAGGCCAAGGAGCCTTGAAATTTTTAGTTTTGTAGAATTTTATTTCTTTGTCCCAAGCCTTCATTGCCTGGGAGGAATTCCTTCAAACCTGTCTCTCTTCCCTCAAAAATGGCAAGAGCCGGCGGTGTTTGGGTCCAGCTTGGGGAAAGTTTGGGCCCTGAGGTCACAGAGAAATGAAGAGAAGCCACACACCTTGCCTGGGTCCCCACGATTGGCTCCAGAGCTTGCCTCCCGCCCTGCTGACGAGGTGGGAATCGCCACCCACCAGCCTTTTTTTCACCCTGTGTCACTCTGCTCCTTTAAGCCACAGGTTCTAGAAGGCTCTGAGAGCACTTCCTGGTTATAAAACTCAACTCTCCTTTTCCTCTTCAGTGTAAGCCCCTGGGTGTAGGAGGCTCCACCTCAGGGATTCTGCCAAAGCCACTGTCCTTGCCTGGGGCGGGTAGCACTGCAGGGGAATTCCAGGGACCTCCTCGAAGGGCTCACAGAAAACAGGGCCCTGTGCCACCACTGTAGCGTTTATTTGAACTCATTTTCATTCCGTTTCGACCCAACAAATATTTACCAGATGTATAGTAATTGCAAGACACAGGAGCTAGGAAGGTTCTGGAATATGACAATAACATAAAACACAAGGCCTGCTTTCGTAGAACTTAAAGTCTTACCGGGAAGGTGGGGGGTGGGGGAGAAATACTTTTTGTTTACATTTCAATTAGGCCTCTGGTTGCCCTCCAACACAACCAAAGGATTGGACTTGACCTCTGAGGGCCTTTCTCACACAAAAGGTTATCTGGTGCCTAGTGTATAAGTTTCTAAGGCAAAAACATCCAGGAACACCTTGGAATAGCTGAAGGGCAAAAGGCCAGAGATTCTAAATATAACCTTTGGCAAAGACTAAATTGTGTACTTTGAATATGGCAAAGCCTGCTATTAATTCACGGGGTCTGACATACCCTGCCTTAATTATTCCTTTGTAATCAGGCCATACCTTTTTTTGTGTGTGTACTTTAAAATTAATAATTGCCTTTTGTAATCAAGCTTCAGTGATATTCACACTTAAATGTCCGTGCAGTATATATCAGGGACCAAATTGGTTAGCTAATTACAGCTTAAACATGAAAGGTACCTTTGGCACAGCTGTGCTTCTTCCCCCCTCCCCCTCACCTTAATTAAAAAAACATTTCTCTGCTTTTGTTGCCAGGAAAAAAAAAAAGTCTGTCTTAAATGTTTGGCTTCATCTCCAGCTGTCAAAATGACAAAAGGCATGCTTTTTAAAAAACAACAGAAAATCCCACTACTACCACAAAACAAACAAATGAACAAATAAAAACCTGGACTGATAAGGCTTTATCTGTCTTAAAGTAAAGAGGAAAAGGAAAACATAAATTGTAATTTATAGTGGGCATCACAAGCGTATTAACATTTAACTGAGGGCTAGTAGAATATAATCAATTCTCAATTTTAACCTGTTCCAAACTAACTTTCACTACAATTCCTATTTAAGCGACTTGAGTTTGCATGTGGACATATGTATGTAGAATATATATTTATATTCTCATATAATTATATAAAGACATGTTCATATATATACAACTGTATATATATTATATATGTACACGTACATGCGCGCACGTACACACACACACACATATATATTTATTTATAATTTAGTTATCCAGAAATGGCTGTTAATAAAACAAAAGCTAAAACTATAGGATACAACATAGATTTAGAGCTGAAATCAGCCTTAGAGGTCATTTCCTTATTTTACAGAGAAGGAAACAGAGGGCAGGAAGGTTAGTGAGTTATCCAAGGTCATACAGGCAGCAAGAGACAGAACTAATACTTGCATGAGGAGCTTATCCCTACTACTACTGTTACCTAAAGTTAAGTACTCCTCTAGATTTAAAAAAAAAAAAAGATTTATTTTCTTTTTGGTGCTATATTCCATGGACTTGCAAGTGTAGTATTAGATGGCAGTGGATAAAGTATTGGGCCTGAAGTCAGGAAGACCTGAGTTCAACTCCAGCCTCAGACACTTACTAGCTGGGCAAGTCATGTAACCTCTGTCTGCCTCAGTTTCTTTATCTATAAAATGGGTCTAATAATAATAGTACCACCTCGAAGGATTATCATTACCTTTAAAATGAGATGATATTTACAAAGCAAAGCACTATGTAAATGCTATCTATTTTTGTTAGCCTTTTCTAAAGGAGGCGAGTATTGAAAAGTGTGCTCTGTTTAACATTCCTGCCTTATTGATCCAACTCAAAATAGTAGTTGTTAATTATAAGTATGCTTGTTTCTATGTTGGAACATGGCAGAATAAAATTCTGGAACCCTTTGGGAATCCCAGACCTCACACAAGCGTGTATTATGAGATTGTGGTAGGAGAAAATGCTACTGGAAATGTAGAAAGAAAGATAAAGCAGAAAAATTTTTCTTTATTTCTCTTCATTCTCCATTTCACGCATTCTTCTTCAGCATCCTTTTGACAACTCTGGTATCTTTTTATTTCAAATTGGAGGGTCGATTCTTAGTGGCACCCACCACCACAGAGACTATATGATGTGTAGTTGTTTTTTTTCTCCGGGAACAAAGTGTGACATTTGCACCCACACCAAGGTTTGTGAATTTGATATTAAACACCTAAAAAGTAATAGCAAAAAAAAAAAATCTGAAAATGGAGATATAAAAATTTGGAGAAAAAATTAGGTGTTTCTGAGCAATTTAGACTATGAAACAATTTTCTGTGGGTTTTCCTATTTAAGGTGGCTTAAAGTTACTCTAAAGGAATTGTGAAAAGTAGGAATTAAGAATAAAGTGTTTAAGGTGGAATACAAAAACTTTGTTGTGGTTTTGGCCTCCCTCCCCTGACCCATTTTGCTTGGCAGGATCTTGGGTTTGTGAGGCGTGAGAGAGAGAGAGGAGACTGACAGAAGGCAAGATGTCAGAGCCACAGAGCCCTCCATAATTTTTTACAATTCAGTGACTTCCTTTCCTCCCCCCTCCCCCCAACTCCCTTAGGTTTGAGGAAGAATGCATGTTGATATTAAGGGAAATTACTAGCGGTAAAGACGACTTTCTAACTTTAGGTCAGATAGAGAGTTGAGACAGGGATTTTGATCCTGCTAGGAAGAGAAAATGAGTTCAAAAGATAGGTCTGCAGGTTCTAATTAACTGTCTCATGGTCCATATTCCAAAAGAGATGAAACTCTGCAGCTATTTGGGAAATTATAGACTTCTCTCCTTAAGGAAAGAATGCTACACAGGGCTGAAGTTTTTTTTTTTTTTCCCTTATACTTAATCCCTTGAGTTATAAGCAAAAGGAGAGAGAAAAGAGGAGAGAAGAAAGGAGAGGTGAGGAAAGCAGAGAGAAGAAGAAAAGGAGGGAAAAGAAAAGAGGGTAAAGGGAGAGGGAGGGAGAGAGAGAGAGAGAGAGAGAGAGAGAGAGAGAGAGAGAGAGAGAGAGTGTTCAGGAGGACACAACATAGTGCTGGGCAGAGAACAAGCTCAAGAGAATAGTTTAGTGACATCAGCAGAAGATACTAATAGTCCTGCAGTGTTGGAGGTGTATTATTCTTCTATATGTGCATAGCTACAAGGATTCCCTATATGTGCTCCTTCATGCATTTGCTCTGACCACATAGGTTTCCTATATCCACCCTTCCCATTGATGGTGTTCATATTTGTGGAAGAGGTTTTTGTATGAGTAGGAATGTCATGTTGTTACTTTTCCTACTATGACAATTCATCAAATGATGAATTTCTGCATTGTCTTTGCATTATCTTTTCTGTCTGAGTAGTAAAAGTAAGAGTGGACTCTCAGAGAATACCAAATGGTCAGCTTTTTTTTTTTTGGAGGGGGAGCCAGTTTGCAGGACACTTACAAATGTGGAAGCCCCAGTGCTACATAGTTGTTCTATGGGGTTCTGTTCTTGGCCCTTTTCTATTTCTACATTTTCTGCCTCATGCATTCCCACAGCTTCCACTATCACCTCCATATGGACTGTTCTAAATTCATATGTAGTACCTGAGGACACCTTAGAAGACAGGTCCTTCAGTGGTTGGCTAGCCTTGATTGGAGGCACCCTATGGGACCATGCCCTATAACTGTAATTTAAGAGCCCCCACTGATGTGTTTTCCCTTTTCGTTTTGTTTTGTTTTGGCAGTTGGGGTTAAGTGACTTGCCTAGAGTCACATAGCTAGTGAGCATTATGTGTCTGAGGCTGGATTTGAACTCAGGTCCTCCTGACTCCAGGGCCTGTGCTCTCTCCACTGCACCACCTAGCTGCCCCTGTGTTTTCCCTTTAATAGTCAGCAAAAGGAGACCATTAGTTCAAAGCAAAGTTATTTAATGAAATAGCATAGAAGGAAAAGTAGCAGCAAAATATTTCATAGCAGCTTAACATTTCTCCCCAAAACCTGGGATATATTTTCCCGCAAATACATTCAGACTCAGTGGGAAGAGAAGATTCTCATTTGAAACACATTTAGAGGAGTATACATATAGGGAACACCTTTGGCCGAGGAATTCCCATACAGAAGAGATGTATATGGGAAACATATACGTAGAGAAC